GTACACAGAAGAGCAGAACACTCGCTAGCAACTCGGTTGCTTACAATTAGGCGAGTAAACTAGCGAGCGAGAGAGAGAGAGAGAGAGAGAGAGAGAATGCAATTTGTAGCAATCATTATAAATATGCTAATTTTCTGCTATCAATATCATTTTAAATCTTAAAATTAAAATAAAATTTTAATAAAATTATCATTTTTATTATTTGACTAACAGCTCTTTCTTTTGTATTAATTAAATATTATTTGGACAATATTAAACTTTAATTTTAAAAAATCGTTACATCTACGTTATGTATTTTTTGTACTTATAGTACACATCTTAACTCGACAATAAAGTATAATTTTCCGGAAAATAAAGTCAACGTAACGTACAATTGTAGAATGAGATGCGACAAGCGGAAAAATAAAAAATCCTGGAGCACAATTAGTGTCGAAAATGTCAAATTGTAGCTAAATATTGAAAATATAAAAAAAGCAATATTCTGCAAAACAAAATAAAAGCTGAAGCGATAAAATAAAGCAAAAAGACATAGAATGTGATTGAAATAAAATCCAATCAAATTTTCTGTGTTCGAGATATAAAGAAATTTATGCATGTCATCGAAGGCATGGATATTTTTGTAACAAACATTTTTCAATATCAATTTCATGATAGCTTATAAAAGACAAATTACGTTTGATACAATCATATATTGTAAGCAGAAAAAATATATAATAATATGAGATGCAAACAAATTGGATAATAAAATATGTCTGTGGAAATAAAGATAGTCCAAAATGTGTGATATACGTAAGTGTACATCAAAGATTAATAACGATATAGATTGCGTAGGACGAGTTTGCAAAGGTATCTTCTCAATGTGCCGATTTTCATAAATAATTCCTAAATATTCGAGATACATCATTAGGCCCGTTAAATTGTATATTCATAAAGATACACTTTATGCACTCATAAATTTAAAATTATGTAATTAGGGATTGCGATAAGATATCCTTGAATTAATGGAAATCTTGCGTCGGAAATTAAATTATAATCATAAATTCGAAGCAGATAGCATGTACAGATTATATAAAAGCGAATGTACCACCGTCCTTCAAGCTAGACTAGAGAGACGCTAGATTAAAACGCATAAAATTCACCCTCATCGTCCCGTCGCTCGCGTGGGTGCCTTTCAAACAGGTTTTAGAAATTGCAAATGTTATGCAAATATTTTAGCGCATTTAAAATTATTTCTACGCAAATATTCGATTTTCGATATTCCAAGTTAAATATTCTTTAAGTAATAGTTTGTAATATAACTCTCGTAATGTGCAAAAGAAGACAGAGAAGCCAACAATGAGTAACTTTAAAGTGTTCTATAATTATATTCAATAATTTAATGATATATATAAAACAATTCTAATAATACCTTATCAAATTACTGAACGTTTTGCACAGTCTTCTTCAGTAGTTCGAGTTTAACGTAGATTACACACATACAAAGATAGAGATTACACAGAACATGGTAAGTACGTCCGAAACTGACGGAATACAATAGAGAAAATCACGATAATACAGTATATAAATACAGTATATAAATAAGAGTTAACAATTAGAGGCCAACATCAAAGTCGAGAGAATATCCAACGCAGACATCATACAAAAATAAATAAATAAGTTATCGAAGTAAAAAAATAAAATATTCAAATATAAATGCATCGAGCCATGCAAACGTTAATAAACTGATGTATAAATGAAGGCACTTATAGCATTAAAATAAATATCCTTTAATCAAGCATTAAAATAAATATTCTTTAATCAAGATTTTGTAGGGTGTATTTACATCTTTATATCTTCTCTAAATTGTCAGAATATTTTTTATCCTTATAATTCCTCAGTTCTGAAGTATAGCTACTTACTTATGAGGTAGAAATACGGTGCCCATGAGAGACTCCGTATATCTACGCATCGCACGGCTCGATGGAGGGCGCAAACTCGTATTTGCACTGCGTATTCAAAGTTTACTTCGCAACTAGAGAATTTGATTCAAAGTCGCGCGGGTGGAAAGAATGTACACTCACTGCTTCGGTTACGATCCGCATTATCTGCTCTAGCGAACGTTAAAAACGGTGTCTCAATGTCGCACGCACGTACGCGCATCGTCATTAAATATATATACGTCCAGGAATGCAAAAATACATATCATCGTCCGCCCTTTGATGTGCGTCGACATCGCTGCGCTTCAAAGCGCGAATAGGGTATGCGAGCAACAAGAATATTCAGCGGTCGAATATTTTTCACGAAGTAGCACCGAGAGTACATCTGCAAATGGAATGTCTTTTGATGCACTTCTTTTCGCTCTTTTACGTCACTGATATGCATTCACGCCGCTTTGCATTCCGGCGTAAAATCGTACGTAAGAGTAACGTAAGAGTATCGATAAGTACATTCCTTGCTGCTAAGTTGAGCCCTATGCTACGCAAAGAAAAGAAAAGAAGAAAGTATGAGCAAAACGAACAGAAATGAATAACGCGATTATGCGAGAAAGTGAATGAAAAGCGAACAAGATGCGACAGCGAAAATGCGATCATTTCAGTTCAGAGTAAGAAGAAAAATACGATTTTCGCGACGTCAATGCGACGATTTAATTAACTTCAAAATAAAAAAATTATTAAATCAAGCGACGGAATAGCAATTGATGTAGACACAGCAGTAATCGTCATTTTGAATGGACAGGTGCAAGTAAATTAATCAGAAAATAAAAAATAAAAATATCGAAAATTCAATTTAGTGTAATCCCAATACATTATGAAGCAGTGAATATATCAAGATTCTTATTGATAATATTTTGGTAAATTAATATACACACACATCAATAAGTTTCATCAATAAGAAAAAGAAGAAAAAGAAAAAGAAAATAGACGCAAAATTATCAAGTTCATGAAATAATAAAAAAAAAAATAAAAACAGGCAATAATAGGTCTGCTTTCTGTGATTAAACTAGAATATACTTTTTGAACTTACATGAAATAAATTATTTACAGTTTTTAAAACACTTAAAACATCAAATTATTAGTATCTTTCTAAAGTGCTTATTAGTATTAAAAATTATTAAATTGCTCAATTTAAATATGTGATATTACTACTCTAGTTCTGTTCATTACGTTCAAGACCGAAGATTTTCGGCGCGCAATTCGTAGAATTAGATACGTATTGTACCTATAAATTCATTCTGAAATACTCAAGCACTAAGATTCGCTTTGATCGAAAATAGGTTTATTTTTCTTAATTAATTTAAAGTGAGATGGGTTTAACATTTTGCGCAAGTGAGAGAGTTCTAGTGTAATCTAGAATAGGAATAAAAAACAGATCTTATGATTAAAATTATTAAATTCATAACGTTCAAATTATACCTAATTTATTTTTAATCATTTCTATGGGTCGCCTCCTTAGGGGCAGCATACTGCTCCTACTGAATATGTCATTTAATTTAATTAAAACAGTAAAATTAAACAATTTAATTCCAGAAGATATATTAAAGATTCAAATTTAGTTCATTATTTAGTAAATGCATTAATATGCATGCATTAATATGGATATTTAGTTTAAAACTAACCATAGGAATGGATTAATTCACATTTTGACTGCACACATGAAAGTTGAAAATGACAAATGTAATTTAACTCAAGGGCTATTATCGCTCCTTTTATAACCAACAATATATTTCTGCAGTATTTCTATGATGCATTATCACATTTGCAAAACATCATAATGGCTATTATTTCAATTAGAAACGTCTACTAAACGTAGATCACGTCTACTAACTATATATATATATATATATAAAATACCAAGAATGCAACTATCATGCAAATAATCATTAATATTACTTGACACAATCCCAATCTCCTAAAGAAGAAGCTATTGAGTGAACATGATCTTCTTCTATGCATCAATACACCTAGCGAACTCTGACAAAAGGGATGGTGGGAAGTAGAGGGTGACGAAAACTACTAAGTTCATGAAACAATCAGGCAGTCAGGGTGACAGCGAGCGCAGGCATAACGGCAGTCGTCGGCTTGCGGCGAGCAGGCCAGGTAGGGGGGGGGCAAAAAAAAAAAAGAGAAATGGACGAGGGTGGGCAGACAGGTAGGCAAGCAGGCAGGAAGGAAGGAATGAATTGCGCCTGCGCGCTGAAACGGCCGGGCTAGACGCGAGAGCCGCCACTCCCGAGCGCGTAGCGGTGTACCGCGGGTGCTGACCGAGTGTCCCCGCGAGAAGAGCGAGAGAGAGTGAGAGGGCGAGAGCGAGAGAAAGAGTGCGGAGAGAGCAGGCCGTGAGAGAGGTGACAGGAGCAGAAAGATGTCCATCGTGAGAGGAGGGATCCTGCGGAAGCGGAGCTCATGGCAGGACACCGTCGGCGATCAGGAGGCTCCGACTCTGTAGGACGCAAAACGAAGGAGGCGCACAACCTCCAGGAGGAGAGGATCCTCGACTCCCTCCTCCGCCGATATCCGTTATCCCTCGCCCGAGTGTTATCCCGGTGCCTCTTCCGACTCGAAAACACAGCGGGAATCGCGAACAAAACTCAGTGCTGAGCAGAAAAGAACGGAGGAGAGCGAGAGACAAACGAGAGGAAGAAGAAGAATTACGAAAGACTCCCGGTGATAACAAATTTTCGCAAAACTATTCCACGTCTTCGTTTATTGCGCGGTGGCGAGTCAAAACTACCGTAGTGATCTCATCGCGAGTGACTAAGCGCGCACAGGCGAGACGAGGAAAATGAGTCCGCGATAGAATTATTCAAATTGAATTCCAAGTGTCGTGATATTACAATATTACACTTCATGTCGCCGCACGAATGTTTATAAAAGTATCGTGAGTGATAGTGAGAAAGGCAAAGGTGAGCCAGAAGATCAGGCGAAAGCGTCGAGAGCTGAGAGAGGATCGTGGACGAGCGACGAGCCAGAGAGCACACGGAGAGGAGCCTGAAGAGGAAGCAAGACGGGGGTAGGAGGGTGGGGCCGGGTCAACGCGCCAGGTAGCAACGCCTCAGGACAGCCGACGTTCCCTTCGTCGTCGTTCTCGTCCTCGCCGTCGTCTCAGCGGCGAGGTGGTGTCGTGATTCCTCCTTCTTAGAACGCGGACAACCGCACCGATTCCGGGGGATGACAGCCATGGGGTCCTTCCACGCCGTCTCCGGGTGCTTCGTTCTCCTCGTGGCTACGGTCGTCCTACTGCCCGCCACGCATCACACACCGTTTGCATACGCCGCGTAAGTCAGCCGTTTCTACTTAGACTTTTAGACGATTGGATGCATTAGAGTGCACTGATATACATTAAAGTATGGTTAATCTGATCTAATGACAATCGTAAATGTGAAATGTAAACATTTTTAGTTACAAAGTACAACATACATTTTTTGCCAAACAGCGATTAATAAAATGTATTAAGAATTTCAGCAGTTTAATCCATTTCTATTATGTTAGATCTTTACATCAATTTGTGTACGATGACTTTAATGTACACCAGGGCGCACTGAGTGTATCCAATCAAATTAGACAAAATATAAATAATAGGCGAGCGTAATATGAGAGTAATATGAGATTGGCATGTGTACGTTTTAAGAAGTAAATGCTGAAACGTGATAGAGTAATTTTTATAGGAATCATTGGTATTTTTTACTAATAGCTTGAATCTGATCGTCTTCAATGTATTACAAGTATGAGTGGAGTATCAGAAAATAGGATTCTACGCGAAAGATCGAGACAGCGAGTTGTTGATGTTTTCTTTACATTTGCAAAGCGATGCTTATCACTGTTTTCGGTAGCTATTTAACTGTCTTCCCATGTTTAGGAATGTCCGAAGAGCTTGTATGTGCGTGTGTGGGAATAAAATAATTAAAGCGAACGTATTTGAACTTTGATAAAATAGAAAAAAGTATAATAAGTGGAAATTAGATTAATAAGAACAAATCAAATAAGAGAAATATCCTATTTTCGGTCGAAAGTACGTAATATGAATTTGTAAATTTATATATGAACATTATTAAGCATCAAAATTCGCTTCGACCGAAAACAGAATTTTTTTAATCTTACTTGAGAAAAAAGAAATTAATACTTTATCTAAACACTTTTGATAGATTAATAGAGATAATGTTTATAAAGTTTTATTATAATAAAAATTGATCGATTTAATCATTTGTAAAAATAATTAATTTATAGTATTCTAGATTTTATTTTGATATGGTTTTGTTAGATATCACATTGGAATATAGCTTTCTCGCGAGAGATTTTAAATATTTTTCATTAATATATTATTCTTATCAAAAATAACAATAATATATCAGTATGACAGGAGACCTAATTGATCCTCTGTCATACCGATATATTACTCTGATCATATTTCACACATTCTCTTGTATTTATATTTTATAATATAAAGACAATGATATATGTTTTTCACAGTAATTACTCCAAGAAAGATTCTTGCCAGATATATCACATCCCTTCCATATTAATGTTGTGGAAAAATATTGCGCCGGGCAAATCGTGACGAATGACATCTTCCTTGCGATAAGCGTCATTCATTATGCTACTTCGACGGAAATAACCAAGTTTTATTACGCGATCGTGTCTGACGTCAACCCGCCCGCTGCCTACTATCAAGAGCAAACAAGATAGGTTTAGCCTTTGACATAACGGGCGCCACAATGAGAGTGGCGCGTAGCTCTCTCCGCCGTCTGGATGCACCTCCGTGATTGCATGTAAATGAGCGGATACATGCAGTCACGTTGCATGCCCCAGTGTATGTCTTACCACCACGCGCGCAAGCTCTTTCCATGATCACAATGACACCATCCCTTGTGCCTCCAAGGCGACGATAAGGAGGCGCTCTCTCTCTCTCTCGCTCTCTCTCTCTCTCTCTCTCTCTCTCCCCCCTCTTCCTCCCCTCTCTCTTGTCGCGTTTTAATAAGCATAATACAATATATTCATCATGCATGCCCTGATCGTTTTAAACTATCTATATTTTCCTAAGCAATAGTAATTGACAATTCTTAACTATTAAATATGATTAATGTGATGCAAAATTATTATAGTCAAAACTATTATACGATATCGATTGATTCCAATAAATAAACAATTATTATAATTTATACTAGATTAAAAATCAATATTAAAATTTGTAAAATAATTATACACAAAGATTTATAATATTTTTCAAATAAAATATACAAATTAAAAAAATCATCTTTTGATGTATTCTATTGCAGTACAAAAATTATATTTTCATTGAATTAAAAGATTAAAATTAACAAAATTGTGCATTATAACATTCATTATAATCGAACCAATCCAATAAATTTTTTCAGTGATTTTTAACTTTTGTCATAATTAATGGAAACATTTAAATACACATATGAACCTTATTGTCAATTAGAAAATGTTACTTCAAGCAGAAACAAAACGATAAACTGGCGAATAGAAAGAACAGAAGCAGACATGAGCAATAGTAACAAAGCGCAAACAATGTCGACATTGGAATTGGTCGATGCTACACCCGCTCATCCGTTGATCGCAATTCACTAGTACGTATTAATAATCCGCAAATATAAAGCAAAGATATCTGCAATACGAGCCAGCGCTATCGATCACTTTGCACGAAACATTCGACGCGCTGTACTTGCAACCAACGCGACGGCTGCGTTTAATCAGATTCTTTCCCTGGCCGCTGTAATACGTTCCCTTACTACTGAAATCTTAATACGGCCATTTTAGTAAGATTTATCTTACTTATTTTATATAAACGTCTCGTCAATAGTGCAATTATCTTCTAAACTCCTAAAAATATACTTATATATTTTCTTAAATAAGAAATAATTGAAAGTTAATTGATATTACTTTTATAATCTTTATAACGTAGAAGTTTTAAATAATGACATTGAAAAAATGTTTCGTTTTAACTTATTCCGGATATTCAAAATTCTCAACAAATTTGAATGAAAATTTTTGTTCAATTTAAAGACTACTTTCTACTGCTTTATAATAACGCATTTTTTTAAATCATTGAATTGTTGTGATTATATCATAGCTATAATTTTCTGAATGAAAACTATACTTAATGTAACGACAAGTTGTACGTACGGTTTTCTTTAGCAAGTTATGTTATAAGTGATACAAGAAACAGTCTCAGTTTCGAGGTTAAACAGTGAAGGTTTTCTACACAATCTACTGCATTTATATTCTAATAATCACAAATATAGATTCATGAATAATCACAAATGGTAACGGAGACGTAAGTTTAAATTGTGAGAACGAGGATAAGAGGACTTAGTCAGTGGCATTGACTAACTGCGTCGTTATCGATGTTCCCGTACGTTTTGGATTGTCTAACAAGACACGTATATTTAATATACAAACTAGAATAAGCTGCAGTTTTTATTACTTTTTTGTCCCTATTAGTGTACCTTTGTATTTAAATCATAAAGAAAACTAATACAAATAAATAAGATAAGGTATTTTTTTATTAAGTTAAATTATTAATGTACACAATATCAACTCGACAAAGATAATGTTCTATTTTTTAAAGTATAATAAAGATTTTTTTGAAAGATCTGAGCAATTTATATAAATCTAGTAATATATATATCGCAAAATTTTAAGCTTACCTCTATTAGTACATTCTATATTGAAGTCGAGAGTGTTACTAATGTACATTGAAATTGTAAGTATAATTAAAATAATGATTTATGCAATATTAATTTGAACAATTACTTTATATCTATTATCTGTTTAGTAACTATATGTAAAATGAGTCAAATGTGAATAGGTACACAACTGAGAGCATATTAATAGGACCATCGCTTTTTGAAAGGCTACATACTAATAAGAACAAAACATTTTTATTGTTTTTAAAAACATAAAATATTAATTTTTTAGATTAGAAAATATTATAAGAAAGAAAAATATTTGAAAAATCAATATTACAAACAGACAAAATTAAAAACTACAATATTAATAATTATTTCAGTAATGAGAAAGTTGGTAAAAAGGCATACTAATAGTAATCCTAGTTAATCAGAATTTTATGTTCTTCAGATACTAAAGATAGTTTCTCTCAAGTATCAGACAATATTATCCATAGTGAGATAACCACTATCGAAACAGTTTTAATTCGCTGCGCTATTACACGCGAAGAAGATGGTAAACGAGTAGTTACATGTAGTCAGAAGGATTATCAATATTTACGCTCTTTCGATGAGCGGAGCCTCGGTCGTTCCACCTGTTTCCTTCTCGAGTGGGCCACGCTTCTCTCTGGCCTCCTCTAAACCTCTATGAGTACCAACTGCGGAGGTACTGTAGCGTAGTATCGGTGATCGCAGTAGAGCTCTCGAGCAAGAGGGTGCTCCCAACGTGGCAGGGCTCCAAATCCTCCTACGCCACCACCCTCGCCAGCCCACCAGTGACTAGAATTGTCGCCACCCTCGCCCACTCTTTGGATCGGTAGCGTACACCAAAACCCCCATCTCTCTACAACGAGGAAGAACACCCTTTTTGCTTCACTCTATCACCCGGACGAAGCTTGATCCGAAATCCCAATTTCACCGCACCATCTTCATTCAAGTTTCCATCATCCCTGATAGCTTCATTACTTAAACCTAGCAACTGCAGCTATTAAATGGCAATTATTTTGATGAAAATATAACAAAATGTTAAAACTTTTTTAAAGAAAATGAGAATAATGCTCGATAAATTTACCAGCGAAATTGGCTGAAACGTAGTTACGAGTAGTACGAGTCAACAACAAAGACGGTTTATCCTAAACGTTCATTCGAACTTATTTTGAAATATCTAATATAAAATTTTTTTTATTTCTTTGTTCTTTCTTATATATATGAGTATAAAATAGCTCATGTAACGTTTAACTCGAGATATTTATTTTTAAATATTTGTTAAACAAATTTCGTACATTGTGAATTACTTTTCCAAATTTATACTACATTCTTTCAATACTACTCTTCAAAACTAATGATATATTCATATACCTTTATTTTGATTTTCGCAAATAATTTTATTTTAAAATACCTAAATATATTTTTATATATAATAATTATCAGAAACATCATACATTTAGTTCCATTTCGGACTACGAAAAATGCTAAAGATTGTGATTATATCATGAATAATTAACGATTATCATCGAAAATATCCATTCAAAGATTTCACGAAAGCTATCTATCGATCCGTGATATCTTTCATCGGGTGGCGAACCATG